TTCATTAAAAGTTTAATCAACTATCATCTTGTCTTTATTTTTAGTTAGCACATACCTTAAACACTTCAAGCTGTAAGCTAATGATAGTTATATGAGAGCAGATGCATGCTGCTGCAATAAGCTGTACATTTTATGTCCAATGGATGCATGATCTGATTAGTCGACTAATCGCAAAGATAATCGGTGACTAGTGGACTATCAAAATAATCGTTTGTGGCAGCCCTAATGTCAAACTCGTCATTAAGGGTGTGAGGTAGGCTGTCTTTTTGGAAAAAAAGAGTTCAGAAGGTGGTCCAACATAGTAGTATCAAGGTGTAACTAATAAAGTGATACTTTTTTAATTCAAATTAGTGAAGACCCAGAACAGTCTGCTGTGCTGCTGCAGAGCTGATAGAGAAGCACTAGAGAGAAAACTGCGTCCTTAATGAGATTTTAAAATTCAAGAGGAGGAGAGAAGGTGTTAATTAAAATTCTGCCAGCCTCCAGTAGCAAGTTTTGATTTAATACAACAATCATTCTGTGAGACTGCACTGCTTGTTTCTCATCTCGGCATAAACTCTTCAAATATGCTCGGGTAAAATGATATGTCAAATAACGCCTTGCTAGGCCTTGCTGTGCAGGGAGTTTTTTACTTGCTAGTCGAGCTCCCCGTTTCCCTGCTCTGGGACCGTCTCGGCTCCCTCTCTTCCTCCGTCTCTCTCAGCCTGCTTTGCATCCTTCCCCTGCTCGTTCCTCCCAACCCACTTCACTGTCGTGCCTTTCTCTCAAGTCTCACTCCCTGCCTTGTTCCATACAGAGAAGACGTTGGAAAAACAAGACCGCCAGGAGACTGCTGCGGTAAAGGCATGCGGAACAAGAAAGGAGCGTAAAGGGAATGTCAAAAAACGCGGACAGAAATCTGTTGATTCGCTGCGAGGGGCGATGTTACCATGTGGTCACATATGGTCCCAAAAAGACTGACACGTTCAAGGGTGTTTACCACATATTTGTACAGACTGTCATCACAGAAGAGCATCACATAATCCTGAGAGAGTGCATCTACTTCAAGTGGCGGGGCCGACTAGGTCCAATAAACAGGGCTGGGACGGATTCAAAAACATATTTGTAATGGTTGTACTACAAGTCTGTGTGCTGTTAGCAAACTTGAACAACTTCTAAAAAACTTTGGAGAGCACTGTGACAGAAATACACACCAGGGTCTCGCTGAGGGACAAGATGTGAGAGAGCATATTCCCTGTGAGATCACCTCTTGAAAAGGGGGGTGCCGGCGTTTCCCACGACACCAGCCTCTGAACACCCTCACCCCACCTACGCACTACCCCTCATCTCCTCTCCCTACTTTCATCCGGGCAAACAACAGCACCGCTGCTGCCTCTACTGTGGAATGAAATATTCATGGCAGAGATAAAGCGGATGCAGCTGAAAGACTGTGTGTACCTTTCTGTATGCCGTTTGCACCGGTGGGACCATCGGAGCCGGTTAGGTGTTCAGGGCTGGTTGTTTGCGATGACGGTGCACTGAGGAGGAAGAGGGAGAGAGAAAAAAAATCAGTGGATTAGAACCAGCATAGCAGCACGTGGGAAAATCTGTGACACCACGTTAACGTAAAGGCCGTTAGAAAAAGAGATGTGGAAGTCTGAAAGTTAGTTTCACAGTTTAAAAGTACATCAGTGAGAGAGATATTAATGCGTGCGGATTGCAGATTTGAACATGAAATTAGAGGCCTCGGGTTCTCCATCAGTGTAAATCTGAGTACAATGAGAAAAAGATTTGCCTTTGCATTAATTCCTAGCACGGCAGCATGAAAACACATCTCTCCAAGTGTTTTTGCCTTTGTTATTTGTACATGTTTGATTTGGACCCAAAAACTGCTCCTAAACTTTTATAAAGTCAAACTTTCTGCTTATATGAATCGTTCAACATTTGGGGGAATTGACTTGAAAATGTACTCCTTGCTGAGCGTAAGAAGATTGATGTGTACCTCTCGTGGCCATGCAGAGAATATGAAGATACTGCCAGAGACAAAAACTGAAACTAAATAAAATACATAAAGCACACTCCTTTATAAAGATGCTAGATGTTTCAGGAAATAGTTAAATAAAAACTATGATAACATTCACAGAGTCTGAGTTTAGACACGAAGCGATCCCTAGCAGCAACAGCTAGCTTAGCTACATCCTGTCGATGACTAAGCCGAGAAAAGAATTTAAAGAAATGGAAATAGCTAGCTTCACTCTGTACAGATGTTCAAAACCTTCCTATTAACACAAGCAAACCAACAAGTAGTATCTTTTTGTTACCAACGTAGGGTAAACATAAAGCCTATAACAAAAGCTAACAAGCTACAGCTAGCACAGAGCATCCAACTGCCAATTTGGAGATTTCCTGGCCTTTAAAAGATTGAAACAGGTACACGTTGGCTGGGCTCCGTCTCAGTTAGGATCACATTATATTATTATTTATGTTCTTTCAGCTGCATTAATCATCTTATTTACTTTATTCTTTATGTATTCGCTGTTATAAATGGTGACACCAACAAATGAGCAAATAGCTAACACTTCCCCAGCAGTAAATTGGTGAGGCTTTAATTACATATCTGTAACATAAATATTCAAACTACTGCTACCAACTGCTTATCTTACCACAAATGCAGAGTAAACAACAAAGCTAATCAACTACTCATAATCCATTTATATAGTTTTCTTATATGTGTTTTGATTTTTTTTGCTTATAAATTCTATAATTAACAACAACATGTTCATATTGCATCCAACTCATGTGAGCTTATTTCCCAAAATGTCAAACAAACACCAAATGAACTTAACTGCAGTACCTGTCCTGAAGTGGCACCGTGGTTGGATTTGGGATTTCAGGAACAGGCCGGTGCCTGAGTTTGTAGGAGCGACTAAGCCTCTGACCAACAGGAGGATTTAAATTGGGCGGCCCCTCATAAATTGAGTTCTCAACCATTTCACCTTGAAAACCCCCATCGTCACCAGAACAGGCGATGGAGTTCGGGCCATGCAACAGATCTTCTGTAGTAATCTCTCGATCTGGTATTTCAGAAGCGGAGAGGGACTCGCTGCTGCTGTTGGAACATGCGGAAGCAGGCAGGCAGGTCTGTGCAGATTTCTGAATGTTCTTGGGGTTACGTGGGGCTGGTCGAGGCGGGACGAGGTAACTGCTCCTTGGAAGGTTTTCAGCTCTTTCTCCCAGTCCTGCTCCTGGAGGTAAACTCTGACTCACTTCCAAATCGTGATTGCTCTTTTCCTTTGGTTGCTGACATGATGCCCCCCTCTTTCTATCTTTCAGGAAGATACGTCTTGGGTATGGCACTGGCTCCCTCAAGTTCTTTGCTCCATCCTCTTCACTTTCATCTTCCCCTCCACTCAGCTGCTTGAACCCTAGTGCCTCCAGACTCCGGAGGATGCGTCTACGGTGGCCTGTCGGCAGCACTTTGAGCTCAAGAAGACTCTCTTCTGTCAGGTCCATGCAGTCTTCCAGAGATTTATAACCTCCCTGATGGAAAAACGGGGCATAGTGAGACAAGCGGAGGCTGGAGAGCCACTCCACAATCTCTTGGCTGGGCTCTGGAGCTGCAAACATCATCCTCTAAACCCACGTTTGCCACATTGGGGAGACTTTTAAAAGGTGGAGAAGGCCAGCTTTACTCTGTAGGTAAAAACAAAAAGAGAGAAAAATAAATGACAGGTAAAGCAATCCACAGACAAGACAAGTTCCAAACTCATACAGTATTTAACATATAAAGTTAGGTTCTTTGCGACAAGCTGCAATTTCCCAAACCTAAAACGGATTTAACTTACAGAGAATTTTTTAAGTGTTCAGTTTGATGGTGTTAAACAATTCTGGCTATGGAAACATGACCCAGTTTAAGAAAGAGATCAATATTTTGAAAGATACTAGCACTCACTTCTTATTGAGAATCAGATTAAAAGATCAATAAGGTCAGGCAATTTTGCAACCGGAAATTAAATATTTGCGAAAACACACGCGTCTGCTCTGCACAGAGAAATGATTTTCAATCGCCATTTACGGAAAATAGTGCAAGATCACATGTAATATGCACTAATCTAACTATCAGTTCCTTTAACTTCACGCTTTCAGTTGTGCTTTATAGTTATTTACCAAGGTGAATTTTCAAAGACGGAGACGGCTAAAACTGCAAAATAAAACAATAAAATAACCAAAACAATCGCCTCACAACAAAAAACAGCCAATGATAGAGTGGCCGGCCATCAATCTTACCCTCCAAATCAATTACAACTGAATTTCACAATATCAGATTTTCACTTCCCCATTAATGTGGTCCATGAAGTGAGTTACAATAAATTTCTCTGGATATGATGATATTTCTCTACATATTGCTCACATTATTGTAGTAGTCAGATCCTCCTTTACGTATGGTGGGTTTTTTGGGGCCAATGCAAACTCAAAATAAAAGCAAATGACGGCAACAAGAGAGCTAAAAAAAATAGCTGCACAGAAGCATATAAAAAGAATCATTGCACAACTAAACAAAGCAACGGGCCCTCTGTGAACCTCACCCTATATCTGACCTGGGTACACAAAAAACTTAACTAAAAGATGACCGTGGGAGTTTTTGATCTTTTGAGGGTGGCACTGACCGCCTTAACAAGCGATAAAGGTGACTAAATATATCTTCTTTAAAGTCACTGTGAGAATACTTGTATGCAGCCAAAATAACACGAAACACATCTGCAATACTCCTGGATGAAGCAGCGGGAAACAGCAAGAGCTATGAGGAAACACTGTACACCGTCACAGCCTGGCCCTATGGCACAGCCTTTACAGAGCACTTACCTCAACTGTGTTTAAGAATCCAGGCACCACAGC